CCCAGACGTACCCCTTTCCCCGCCGGCTTCGAATTGGGGACGGATTAACTGGCTTGGGCCCCGCCAGCTGGAGCAACTCGTGTGGTTGTTACGATGACCGGACCACCTGCGTCGTGATTGCAAGCGTCATGAGTAAAGTTTTTTGCAACCAATAAGTTGTGTCTGCCTCTCCATTCACCAGCCCACCCTGACGTACGAGCATAACTCGAGTCGGCCCTGGCCGTCCAAGACAGGAGGAAGTAAAGAAAGGAAAATTGCTCACTGCAGGACGGGAGGAGGAACAAGGACGGCGGGGAGAGCCCGCGCAAGGCATTGATCGTGCCTTAAGTCACCTGCAGCCGGCGGATGACATCACTCCCAATTGCCAGCCGGCGGAAATAAAGGGGCCAGCGGTGAGAAGGAGCAGGGGCGTGTGGGCACCAGGAGAGGGCCTGACCGGTGGTGTCAGCCGGAGGCACGGGATGCCGGAAGAGACTGCACGCACCGGCTGCGGAGGAACAGAGGAGCCTAGCAACAAGTCAGCGCCCGGAGCCAGAATAACAGCTGCAGGCACGCCAGGACACGAGCCGGTAGGAGTTCCCAGGGCACAGGGAGGTCAACGGACTGGGGAAGACACAGAGGGAAGGCAGCTACGCTGGCAAGACCCAGAGAGAGGGCTGCTGCTCTGGCAAGACCCAGAGAGAGGGTTGCTGAGTGGCGAAGACCCAGAGAGAGGGCAGCTGCAAGGCAAGGACCCAGAGAGAGGGCGGCTGTGCTGTGGAAATCCAGAAAAAGGGTCATGACAGCAGCAAACAGTAGAGGGAGTAGTGTTAAACCTGGTTAGGTGGAGCGGGGCCACAGAGTAGGGCCACGTGGAGGAGGCTCCGTTAACAAGCAGAGGTGTTGAGGGGCTATCTGTGCTCCATATGGAAGCCTAATAGGGGTGGGACGGTGCCTCTCTCAGGGCTAGTGAAGTTTGTTCTTTGAGTTGTGTAGGGTGTTTTATGTTCCCCCGTATTAGAAGGGGATGAGGTGGTGTGAGTCTGGAAGACTGAGGGAGTGAGAGGTGAACTCATCGAGTATTTAGGGGAGCGTGCGGTCAGTTGCAGAAGACATCAGTGATCAGCCAACTGACGAGGGTGACCGCACTGCACGAAGCCCCACCCACTAGAAGATTCAAAGTCATGGCAGGAGAGAAGGGGCAGCCTGCGGCGTGTGTGAAGATCTCCCATAAGGCCACCTGCAACGGCAAGGTGAGTACCAGCAAGCCTTCAGATTAAGGAGGCTCGAGGTAAGATATACGAGGCCCGGCGGGTGCAAGGCTAAAGATAAAAATTATACAAACTGGTATAAGTGATAGGAAACTGGTTCAAATCTGTAACACAACAGAAGCTCAATGAACATAAACCACTTTCAAAATGGCCAAAACCAGTCTAAGACAAACCTGGATGGACATAGTATCAGACTTAACTGCTTTAGGTTAAATCAATTTATTGAACTTCTGTGCCAGATCCCTTCCAGATTCAAGTTAACTCTCAGTCCCTCAGGATCCTAAGATGTTATGCCTCTCCTTCACAACCTCCCCCTTCACAGGCCCAAGCTGTCTGATCCATCAGAGAAGGAAGGTATGCTCTAGTGCCCCTCAGCTTCTGACCTGGGCCACTGCAGGCATGTGGCTGCATTTCTGAAAACAAAAGTGAATATCTGTTCACTTGCTTATCAGTTCAGTCTATACAATTTAAAGTAACCTGCAGGCTAAGTACAGCCAGTCAAAAAGCGTGAGGCTGAATCAATTCAGTCTTTGCAGGTTAGTCTAAATTGCACAGATTAAATTGAAGTAGAAATGAATAGACATTTACCTTTGATACAGGAAATGCAGCTATATGCCTGCAGTGGCTTAGGCCAGAGACTTGGGGGCACTAGAGCACAACTCTCTGACTATGTGTTCACTTTCTCTTCCTGCTGCACCCAAGGTCTCTGGGATTTGCAGTCCAGAATTACAGCAACAGGACTCTGCAGGGTTGCTCATCACTTCCTCTTCCTGCTTCCAGGTGCCTCTGGGATTTATAGTCCACGGTTGCAGCTGGGCTTGTTCCCCTCCCCCCATCCCCCCCAGTCAACCAGCCCTCACTGCTCCAGCTAAGGAGCACACGAGTGGGGACAGCCCTGCTTTCTGGAGCAGATAGCACAACCTAGCCCAGGGTAGAATGCATGCTGAGACACTGATTTAACTTGAACCAGGAAGTGGTCTGGGACAGAAAGTTGCACAAACTGATATGACCCAAATCAGATAAGTCTGACAGTACATTTAATCAGGGTTATCTTAAACCAGTTTCAGCCATTTTGAAACTGGTTTATGTGCACTGAAATCTATTCTGCTTCAGGTTTAAACTAGTTTCTCATCACTTAAACTGGTTTATGTGCAACTTCGGTCCCTAGCTGAAAAGATTGAATAGATTCAGCCTCAGGCTTTGTGACTGTCTGTGCTTAGCCTTAATGGAGTTTTCTTTCCAAATGGTTAGAATCAAAACCTCTTTTACAATCTATAGCAGGTATCACCTGAACTTCCTAGTGATGGACATACTTGGCTTTCTTAGAATGCTAGGGCTGCCAGGCTCTGGAGCGGGCTCCCAAGGGAGGTGGTGCTCTCCCCTACCTTGGGGGTTGGATAGATATCTGGCTGGGGTATTATGATCCCATCTCTTATTCCTGCCCAGGGCAGTGGGTCAGACTTGATGATCTGTTCAGGTCCCTTCTGACCCTAGAAACTATGACACTATGAAATGTGGACTGCATCCAAAATAAACTCTTCATCAGTCTTCACTACCAAATTTCATCCAATTCAATAAAGCTTAAGCACTTTTTTATTTTTAATTTTTTTGAACTAACTCATAGGCTTCAAGACAGTTTAGATATGCAACTCCCTGCAGCACCGCCTTCCCACCAACCCCAGCACTTAGCACAAAATAAGCATACAAGTTTGCCTCTGTAATTTAATCCATGCCCCAAATTCTCTCCTGTTTCTCAGGATTGTGCTAGGTTTGTGATATAAGAATGTGCAATATGAGACAGCAGTAAAGTAACTGGGTGGAACAAGGGAAGGCACAATTTAGCCTTCCCTTGGTGCCAACTTAGTGGGGGTGACAACTTAGCAGGGGTGCCGATATGGCTCCCTTCCCTACAGAAGTCTTTTCCAAGGCAGAGGTAGCACTGCACAGTCCATCGAGGAGCTGGGTAGGAGCAGCCCCATGGCCTGCAGTGTATCTGTGAGGGTAGGGTGAGCAAGGTGAGTGGAATGTCCCTAGTTCTATCCAACCCAACCCCCACCCTGAAAGGCTTGCTGTGAGAAAGACACAGGACTGCACCCAAATGGGTATCTTAGGACCATGTTATATATTAATTTTAGGTGGCTCCTGGAGCTCTTAGCCCCTAGATTGTCCACACATTAACACCTGGAAACTACTTTTAAGCACTCTTTAGGCAGCTTAAAGTTATACTACACCAGCCTAGGTTTATCCATGTTACCCAGCTCACATTACACTAATGTGTAGCCACTCTAGGCAATGCATTAGTGTAAACACCACACCCAGCCCTCCTCCCCTGCTGGCCTGGATCAGGCCTACTGCCCCACCCATCCACCTCAGCACCACAGATCCCTGCTTATTGCCCCCACCCTGCCCCCTATTTACTTGAGGCTGGCCTGCACTCTGTCCCAGGGGAGCAGGCAGGGAAGGGTTAACCTGCCTGCCCAGTCCCCACCACTTCTGCCCTCTGGGTCTGGCTCTGCCCAGAGAAGAGAAGCAGCCCAGCAACAGTGGGGGTTGAGCAGCCAGGGGACCAGGGGAACCCTATAGGCATGGCAGAACCAAGGGAGCCCCAGGAGCCTGGGGAGAAGCCCAGAATGGGAAGGGGTGGGATTCTTCGTTTTCAGTCCCTCCTGGCTCCTGTTGGCCTAAACTTATGACTGCTCCAAACTCAAGCTAGCACTAACACTGATCAACACTTGAGCAGCTCACAATGTAATGTGTGACAAGGCCCTTAGTCTTACATACAGCCTGACCTTATTTTCTTTCTTGGATAAGGCAATATTCTAAGTATTGCAGCTCCTGTTTGAAGTCTGCTATAGGTCAATTAAAATTAAATTCAGATACAGTGGCAACTAGGGCTGTGTGAAGCTTCAGTCCCCAATTTGATTCAGTGGAGATTTGGCTTGATTCAGTGGACAAATCTCCAAATCTGAATAGAATCAGAGGACCATTTAATTTCTCCAAATCAAATTGGAACCCTCCAAATTGATTCGGAGAGATTTGGAAAGATTCGGACATAGACACAGCTTTAACTGTTTTTTTCTACATACCTCTAGGTACAGGCAGCTCCTGAATGCTGTGATGCTGGGGCACATACTTCCAGTCTACTTCCAGGTTTGCTGCTGAGCACATGGAGGGCCACCCGCCCCCCCGCACACACACACACTCCTGTGGGACACTCCATGCACCCCAGCAACCACACTGGTACCTCAAGGAATGTAGAAAAAACTTTTAAAGCTGTGACTGTCTGAATCACTGATTCTCTGAATCAGCATCGAATCTTCAGATTCAGATTCAGCCAAATCGAATCAGGAACAGTGATCCAAATCAACTAATCGAATCACTGTCCCTGATTCAGGCTGAATCGAAATCGAATAGGGCCCACTTCAAACACCCCTAGTGGCAACTGCTGGTAAAGTATAGCATGACTGATGTGGAATAACTGTCCTTTTGAAGCTTTGGAAGCAGACTATTTGTTTAATGCTTACAATCCTTGTTATTGTACAACACACACAAAAGCAAAAGACTATCCTGCTCAATTAGAACATAAGGGGCAAATTTATCCACTGCTTATTTCCAGTTCAATACCTTTTTAACTTCCCTAATTTCACTGGTGCAAAACTAACAGTGAATTAGCTCATCAGACAACAGTTTCTATGTTCATGTTCTCTGGCCTGGTTGATTAAGTATCGAAACAATAAATAGTTTTCTTACATATCGCCACAGAAACTTCCTTTCAGTTTCATCATCAATGACAGCAAGATCACCAAAATTCTTCTTGCAGAATTCCCGACCTTTTTCCATAGGAACACTGTCCGTGCTGAAATAGTACTGCTTGTCTTTATTTATAATCCATCCATCACTAGTAACCTTATATTCTTCAAAATAAATAATACGGTTATATGTATTGTACCTTCTGTACAAGCTTTTCTCAGTAAAATAATAAAAATACATTTAAAAAAAAAAAAAAAAAACTTACTGGGAGCAGGAGATTCTGTTGGTTCAGGTTTTACTGTTGCTCCTGTAAAATAAAAATACATAATATATTTCATAGGAATGTTCCATGTCTGATGTTTAATTTATAGTCAGTGATGGATTAAATGTAATAGAGTAGAATTTGTTAACTGGTATGTTCTAATTTCTGAAATAATCTGCAGGAAATTAAGTAAAATAAAATAAAGAAATATCACTATAAACTTAACTACTGCTTAAGAAAACTTTTTTAGGCACTGTTAATAATTGATCGATAATTAATTAATAAAAATCCTTTTAGTCCTTAAATGCAATATATTTATGGTAAGTTCCCTTTAAATGTGTTGGAACTGAATTCTTACTGTTTCAATATGCATGGGGCACAACTTCTGTATGCCCCACACTGCTAAATTTACTAGGCCACTTTACCTTGATTTTGTTAATGCAAAAAGACAATACAATCTGAAAAATCAAAAATTAGTAAAATAATAAAATACTGGTAAAATAATAGTAAAATAGTCACCCACATAAACTTATTTTCTCCCCGCCATGTTGCCTGAATTGTGAGACAGTCTTTAATTAGACAAGCACATGCTGCTGCAGCAATGATCAGAATTATGTCTTGAATAGGCTGTTGTCTGCCAGACATCTTGTCATTTATTGCAGAAGCTGGGAGTGTGGCATGGGATTGCAGGGAGAGGATGGTTTTATAGCTAAGCCAGCTGAATGCTTTTTTAAATAGCATCTTCTTTCACAAAGCATCTATGTGATGCCAGGCAAATCACTTTAACCAAACATTTCACAAGTAATCACTAGCTGTGTGATTCTTGTTTTCTGGGTACTCCACTTGAGGTGCCAGAGTTTCATCTGAGGAAGTGCTGAGTACATACTGCATCAACAGAAAATGTGCTTGTAGCACATTCAGGGCTAAATAGCTCACTCATGGTCCTTCAGTGTCCTTTTTCTGGCTCACAGACCCTGTTTATTATCAATACTCCCCAGGGGCAAGCTGCCTCCAGGCACGAGTCAATCCACATAGGCACGTGTCACTGTACAAGCACACAACACAGTGGTGTTTTCCCAGACCAAAGGGAATGCCTGGGTTAGGGTCTGCTGCTACCAGCCCACACTCCTTCCTTTTCTCACTTCTCTCAAGGCATGCACACAGTCTCTGATGCACACTCAGTCTCTGGCCGCCTCCCAGGAGAAGGCAGTCCAAGCAGGATCCTTGGGCTCTGCTGTACTGACCAGCCAGCTCTTGCCCTCCTGGCCATCTGCCTGTCTCGGCTCTCGGCCTTCCACTCCCTGCTGTCTGCCTGTCTTGGCCATCAGCTCTCAACTGTCTGCCTGCCTGCCTCTGGCTCCTCTCCCTAAGAGCCTAACACACTGCCTCTGCCAGTCTCTCACTCCCTGCCATCATCCCTTTTAACTTTCTGTGGGCTAGCTCATTATCTGGATCAGCTGTCCCAGTCCTCCTGGGCAATCTGTAACCAGGTTTTACTGCCTGCACCTGGATTGTTGCCCTTGCAAGCCTGAAGACTGCCTCCAGGCTCCTTGAGCTGGCAGACTGCTACACAGCTACAGTGCTTTATACACATAAAGGCTTAAGGTAAGTGGGGAATTGGGTGCCCTGGAAGAAGCACAAGCAGGTGAGGGCAACAGGGAAAGCCTTCTCATGCTTCCTGAGAAAGACATGCAATTGGCTTGTTATCTCAAGTGTCTGTACATGAATGTACAGCGCCTAGGAAACAAGCAGGAAGAATTGGAAATCCTCACAGAGTTAAAGAACTGTGATTTGATTGGAATAACAGAGACTTGGTAGGATAGCTTTCATGACTAGAGCACTGTCATGGATTGGTATAAACTGTTCAGAAAGGACAAGCAGGGGGGAGGAGGAGGAAGAGAAGGAGGAGGAAAAAGAGTTTCACTTTGAGTCAATCATACAGCTCTTTTTCATAGAGATCCAGCATGAAACTGGAGATAGGCTTGTTGAAAGTCTCTGGGTTAGGGCCAGAGGAGAGAGCAACAAGGGTGATGTTGTGGTGGGGCTCTGCTATAGACCACCAGACCAGGAGGATGAGGTGAATGAAGCTTTCTTCAAATGGACAGAGGAACTTTCCAGATTACAGTTCTCATGTGGGACTTCAATCACCCTGACATCTGCTGGGAGGGCAATACAGCAGTGGACAGGCAATGCAGGAAGCTTTTGGAGAGTGTTGGAGATAACTTCCTAGTGCAAGTGCTGGAGCAGGCAACTATGGGCCATGCTCTTTTTGACCTGTTCCTCAGAAACAGGGAAGGATTGATAGGGAATGTAGTAGTGGATGGCAACTTGAGCAGCAGTGACCATAAAATGATTGAATTTAGGGTCTTGAGAAAAGGAAGGAAGGAGAACACAGCAGAGTATGTATCCTGGACTTCAGAAAAGCAGGCTTTGACTCACTCAGGGAACTGATGGGTAGGATCCCCTGGCAGGCCAGCCTGAGGGGAAAAGGAGTCCAGGACAGCTAGTCTTATTTTAAGGAAACCTTACTGAGAGCACAGGAATGAACCATCTCAATGCGCAGGAAGACTAGTGAATATGGCAGAAGACTAGCTTGGATTAGCAGAGAGCTCTTCACTGAGATAAAACACAAAGGAGGCTTATAAGAAGTGGAAACTTGGACAGAAAACTAGGGAGGAGTATAAGAGTATTCAGGCATGCAGGAATGAAATCAGGAAGGCCAAAGTACAATTGGAGTTTCAGCCAGCAAGGGATACAAAGGGTAACAAGAAACATTTCTAGAAGTGTCACCAACAAGAGGAAGATCACGGAAAAAGTGGGCCCTTTACTGAACGGAGGAGGCATCCTAGTGACCAATTACGCAGAAAAGGCTGAAGTACACAATGCCTTTTTCACTTCAGTCTTCACAGGCAAGGCCAGCTCCTAGATTACTCCATCTGGCAGCATAGTTTGGGGAAAAGGTGAGCAGTCAACTGTGGTGAAAGAAAAGGTTAGGGACTATTTAGAAAAGCAGTACATATACAAGTCCATGGAGCCAGATGTAATGAACCCAAGGATGCCAAGGGAGTTGGCCAATGTGATTGCAGAGCCGCTGGCCATTATCTTTGAAAACTCATGACAATTCGGAGAGGTCCCAGATGATTGGAAAAGAGCAAATATAATGTTCATCTTTAATAAAGGAAACAAAGAGGATCCAGGGAACTACAGCCTCAACTCAGTCCCTGGAAAAATCATGGAGCAGATCCTCAAGGAATCCATTTCTAAGCACTTGGAGGAGAAGGTGATTTGGAACAATCAGCATGGATTGACCAATGGCAAGTCATGCCTGAACAACCTGATTGCCTTTTATGATGAAATGACTGTTTCTGTGGATGCCAGGAGAAGTGGACATGATATATCATGACTTTAGCAAGGTTGCTGGTCTAAGGACATAGGCAGAAAAGGTTCTTTGGGTAGATGTGACATTTTTATTAGACCAACTAAATAGTTGGACAAAAATTATTTGCAAGCTTTTGGGCACAAACACCCTTCAGCAGGCATAAGGAGACTTTGTGGGTGTTATATGTTCACCAAGGTAGAAAAGAAGTTAATTTTCAAGTTTACAAGTTAATTTGCAAATTTTCGTTTCCCATTTGCAGGAAGAGAAGGAAGCTAATGACTCATTACATAATTGTGCTCCAAAGTATTCTGGTACAATAGCAATGAACATAACAGAAAATCCAATGAGGAAATGAACAGTTCTGTCATCAGAACAGGGTTTGAACAGTGCACAGTAAACAAGTCATGGGGCCAGAGTGGCACCAACAAACAATGAATGAGGCAAGAAACCTTTGAAACAAAAACATTATGGGATATAATGTAATATGGTATCACAATACATATGCATAGGGATGCCCAAAATTAAGGCTGAAGAGATAACTGGAAGAGACTTTCTCAATTTTAAGTGTTTGACTTTGCAACTTAAATTAAGTTTTTAAATATCATTTTACATGTAATTTGTTAGATATCTTCCACATTTAAAATACAAACAAAAAAATCAAAACATTATCACATAGCAACATACCAACCCTTCCACCACACAGACCTGTAAAATTAAAAGAGTAACTGATAGCAATAGTAGGTTGGGATTCCCTATTTGGACCATCACAAGAAGGAATGGGGCATTTTGCCAATGGATTTCACGAATTCAAGCTGGGAGCAGAAGAATGGCAAGACTCAGCAACCAGGCTTAGATCATTTGTTTATAATGATTTAACTTCCAGAAAAAACACCTCAAAAGGTAGTAATTTCTTAGAGGAATTTCTCACTGCATTTTCTATAAATCTTTTCATCAGCATGAAGTTGATTTTTTGGGTCTAACTAGCAGTTTACTTTCATTAATAATGTCTCAATTTCCATCCAAACTCTTCCAAAATAGGTTTCTGTGATGAAATAATTGTCTGAGCTTTGTTAACTACATGTTATTTGCATGTAGAACTGTTCAGTTTGATGCCATCATAAAATAAATGTTTTCCAAAGACCTGAACCTGGACTCAAGCAATTAAACTCTAAATATAATGTGTTTGGAAAGGTTTGAACCAATGGAAATGAAAAATCAGATGTGAATTTGAAATTCAGTCTACTTGGACTTGTGATAAAGAAAGGAATGTCATTTGTTTGGTTAAATCATGGAAAAAGAGCAAGACAAAGTCTCAAAGAAAATAGCAGGGACCCAGTAAGATATTCTGTATCTCTGAACTTACTGAAATTAAGTGAACTAATGCAATTTTTACATTTCATTTTTATACACAATATTCCAGAGATAATTTTACAAAGCTTTAGGCTTTTTAAAGAAATATCAGCTTCTTGAGGTGTGTGGTGAAGGGTGGTTTTTGTCCCAATTTAAAGAGGGAAGTAGTCGTACCTTTTTTTATTTGACAAATCCAGGCATGTAAATAATCACAATGCCTGTCATTCCATAGCATGCTAGAATCTCCAGTAAGCTCCACACAAAGTTCAACTCCTTGATAATTATTTGGCTCTCCAAAGGCCCAGTTTTCATACCTCACCTGTCGTGAAAACATAGTTTGGTTACAATTTTATTCATATAAAAAGGACATAATTGGGTTTCATAGTATTAAAACAGAAAACCAAGATGGCTTTCCAGTGTTAATGTAACAGATCAGAAGCTGGAATTTCCAAACAAGATGTAAAAATGTTGATTTTTTTTAATTCTAAATTGTTAAATACAAAAACAACAATTTATTGTACAACAGAAGTTTTGCAATATTTCAATTTGGAACCATTGGAATGTTTTGTTTTGATAACATTAAAACATTTTGATATATATAATATTAAGATTACAATTGTTACATTTAAACTTACAATATAGATAAAGAAAGTGCAATGAATTTAAATAAAATCAAACCAACACATTTAATTTTAGCAAAATATTTCAACTTTATTGAAGCAAAACAAAGAAGTTGAAACTTTTTCTGGAGAAAATATTGTTAAATTATGATGTTCCTGTAATACATGTCAGCATTTTCTGATAGAAAACTGCCCCATCAAAATATTTTAACCACCTTTATTGGAAATTGAACACACCCATAAAATGCACTATTGTGTTAACTCTAGTTTTACATCTTTGCTTTAGTAGAGTTACTCTGACATACAGGTAGTAAAGCAGAGACCAACTTTTTTGGCAAACATGCTATAAGTCCACATGTGCCACAAGTTAAACCCCACCCCTCTGAGGGCACGTCCACATGAGCGCGCACATGCCTCTTGCCCCACATCAAACCCCTTTGAGGCAGGGCAACAGGCATGTGTGGGAACAAAAAAATGTTCCCCGCACTGCAAGCTTGCAGTGCAGGGAAAAAATAAGACCCCTGGATATCCAGGGGTTTAAAATTTCAATGTTTTAAAAAGTGGGTAGAGGCAACTGGAGGCTCCATGGAAATGCTCTGGCTGCCAGAGTGTCTCATGGTTGGCCCTCACCCTGGTGCTGAAACATGCGGCCCTTGTGAGAGGGCCAAACCCCCTGTTGGCAGGGCCATCACCCTGTAGGAGTGCAGCAAAACATTTATTCATGAATTCATGAAACATGTATTTAGAGTTCACTTTATTATTATGATGAGACTTGCTTTAACACTGTAGATATATCAATAAAACATTGTCCAACTGATTGCTGTCTCTGTCTTGCTCTCTGTCTTTATAGTGGTCTTTTGTTTTACTTGTGGAGAAACATGGATTTGGGGGTATTTTAGAGAGTGACTTTGAAAAATCCCTGATAAAAAAAATCCCAGTTTGCCAATAGGGAGCACCAGAATTCCTGCTAGGGAGGCCAGTGGCAGGACCCTGCTTGCTCAGAGCTGGCACCTTGGACCCAGCTGGCTGTGGGTCCAGCTGGACATATGGGGCCAGGAGGACATACTTTGACAGTTCAAAGCAGGCCACCACACCTGGAACATCTTCCAGGTGACAGCTGCCCAGATGGCTAGGCAGGGGGCACAAATGGCAGTAGTGCCCCACAAAGGCCAACCCTGCAACCGTAGTCCACTGGCAGCTGGCCCAGAGGGGCAGATGCCTCTACTGGCTCTGAAGTCCCCATCTGAGTCTGGCAGGTGCGTAGCAGGTCACAGTCAGGCAGCAGCCCCCACTGCCAGACTGCTGCAGTGGGTAGAGGGTGCAGGGAACTCTCACGGCCGCTTCAGCAGTCCAGCTGGCACAAGGAGTAGTGTCTCCAGGTACCAATTGGCTGGGCTCCAGAAGCTCCTGAGAGCTAGTAGCCCTGAGCTACTTGTCAGGGTGGCTTTTTATACTGCTGGGGACAACACAGGTGCTGGCCCCAGGCTCTAGCTCCCCCTGGCTGCAGATCTGGGAGGAGCCAGGCAGGGTTATTTTGCCCCAAGTGGCACAATTTGCTCCATGACAAAGTGCATGTGCAAGCACATGCTGAAGCAAAAAGCCCCAGCTCAAATTTGCACTGCCTCTATTTGAACTGCCGCAAGCACACATGCTTGCATGTGTGGACACGCCCTGAGTGTCACACTGACTCCTGCCTCCTCCACAATCTGCCCCTTTGTTCCCTGACCCCATCATGATCAGCTGCTCTGCTCCTTACCCCTTCCCTTATCAGCCATACAAAACAAAAGGATAAAGGAGAAACTATCCATGGTTCCAAGTATCACAGAAAATATTTAGAAATATTTCTCATTATACTTTGCATCTACATTAATTTTGTCAGTCCTGCATAATGAGAGATGGCCAAGAAAAAAAAAGATTGCTGAAAAACCCTTCTTTCTTAGAACAGTCAAAGGTACTTTAATATTGTGAATGTAATCCATGTATAGAAACTATATTGTCTTATTATTTTTATCCCCTTCCTTTTATTTTAATTCCATTTTATAAATAAAAAAAAAGTAGTATATTGCATGCTCAATCTAGTTTTGAGCTTACTATTCAGTTATACCAAAGCTAGTCGATGCATATGATTGGGAATAGAAAGACATAACGGACAGATCATCACATCATGAAAAAAATATTCTTGTGAAAAACAATTACTCACTGGAAAACCATCACTCCAGGAAAATCCATCATCAGGATTCAAGTAAAATAAACCAATCCAGAAATTTTGATGATAGAGTCCACTGTTTCTAAAACATTCAATAGGGAAAAAGGATAAGCAAAATGCACACATACAAAATAAACAAAATTATCACCTCAAACAGTTTGATAAACTCTTTGTAAAACATTTTCTTAAATTTGTTAGATTCGTATGCAAATACTGAGCATCTGTCTCCAGATAATTAAAAAAAAGAATTATTCACAACTACCAGTAGCTTTGATAAATTGGCTGATAGCACTGAAATTTTAACTGGAACAATAAATATTACACTAGATTATAAATTTTCAACTTAAACCAACTATTTCAGAAAGGATCAAAAGGTAAATTTCTCCTTATTAAGGTGAACTCACGTGCAGATACTTACGCTATAGAGCGCCATATTGCATACTGTTCTTCTTTACCGTTAACCGTGGCCAGATCTCCTCCTATAGCTCTACAAAAATCTCGAGATTCAAACCAGGTTTTCTTTTGTTCTCTTGAATAAGGCTATAGAAAGTATATTTTATAATCAGATAGAGTACCTTGTATGCATCATAAAAATTAAGAAACCTTTGCCATTTTTCCTGTGGTAGGATGTCATAACAAGTCAAAAAGCAAATCATGCAAAATTAAAAATAGGTTATAAGTATAACTGAATACACTGACTCTTTCTCACTTGGAAATGTTTGCTTCAGGTAACAGGAGAACACTTGGGAGAGCAATATTTGCTATATTACAACACATGAGGAAAGGCCCATTTAAAACTTAAAGGACTTACTGGTTGGCATTTAAAAACTTAGAGAACTAGGTGGCATTTCAGTGATGGATTAGGTACCTCTTCTATATGTGGCTTGTAAATAAGTCTGTAAATACATTCAAATGGCCTAAGAGAATTCTCCCAGGTTTGTTTTTCTGGTAGAGAAACTTATTTGCAGATGCCAGAACAGCAGGGATTTGGGTTTTCTGTTTGCTGTGAGAAAAGGTGGATTTTCTCCTTGAATGGAAAAAAACCCACAAGTTTTCCCCTTTAAAGGAGAAATCACAGATTTTCTCCTTTAAATGAGAAAATCATGGATTTTCCCCTTTAAAGGAGAAAATTGAAAATTTCTCCTCATTAAATTGAAGTCACAGTGCAGATACTCACACAGATCACAGATTTTCCCTTTTAAGGGGGGAAAATCATGGATTTTAAATCATGGATTTTTCTCCTTTAAAGGAGAAAAATGCAGGAAATTACAGGTTTTCCTTTGCAGACTGGCAGAGTTCTAGCCTAGGGCTGCAGGGAGCAGGATGCAGGGGGTGCCACATGCATACATGCACATGGCAGCCAGGCAGTGTGCTGGAGAACAGCTCCTGAAGCACCCACAGCTCCCTCCAAGTAAGTCTATAGAGTTGTGGGGGGCACAGGCAATGTGTTGGTGGGTGGGAGAACACAGACGATGCAGCGAGGTGGGGGAGCAAGGCAACATGGCAAAGGGGGCATGTGCCCCCTGAGATTCCTGTGCTGCAGTGGGGTGCAGGTCTGCAACAATGCTGAACCATCTCTGGAGAAGCCACCTCCACCACCCAGCAGGCAGAACCTGGTGCAGGAGGGAGCATTGTGCTGCCATGGACCCCAAGGTGATGCACCCCAGCCCACCCAGCAACAGCAGGGGGCACAACTCTGCAATACCACTGTAGCCACTGCTGTGCCTCACCTTGGTGTGTGGCATTCCCTTGCACCCCAGGTCCCACCCACTGGGCCACAGAGGCAGCTCCTTTCCAGAGCTGGTCCCACTTGGGTGCGGCCCCATGCCCAGTTTTACAATGTAAAATTGTAAATATATCAATAAAAAATTGTTTTCAACTGATACCTACATATATAGTGGAGTTTCACTTTAACTGAGGAAAAACACAAATTTTGGGGTTTTTTAAACAGAGAAAACCACAAACCCCACTGAACAGACATTTGAATGCTGAACCCTTGAAGACCAGGGAGCTTGCAATGCTGAAGCTACAAAGCCAGGTGGCCTCTGCGCATACATGTCAGCATCCTCTGACTTCTTCAAGCCTGTAGACAGATGACAGCAATGCACAAACCATCATGGCTGATCCACCGTTCAGGGTTGACCTGTGTCTCCCTGCAGGAGAATGTTAGGATTGTGAATACTAGGCCAGAATATCAGAGTCAAATGAATAACATTGTCTCCCAAAGGAAGGAGCAGGGACAAAGCACCCTGGGAGGCTGGAGGACTCTGCTGTGCCTTCTATCAAGAGAAAACATGTATAGAAATTTGCTCTCTTCCAGGAAGGATTTAACCTTTGTCATTCCTAGGTCATTTTTCTCTCAGAGCAGCCAGTTTTTTTCTGGGAGAAAGATCCTGAACATCTGTACACATGTGGTTTCTCCTGAGAAAGCTGTGACATGCCCTCAGTTTACAGAATACTCAAGGATCATTTCAGTATTTATATGCATGATTGCCTTTATGCCAGTTATTATTGTTTACATTCCTTTTGCATTTATTAACTTCAAGTACAATATCTACCTAACTCAAAATTAAGTACACTGACTTTGAAACAGAAGCTGATGCGATTGTTTGAATCCCAACCACCAGGGCATGTGGGGACAGGAGTTGTAGTAGGTACAGGTGGAGGCGTCACTCCCTCAGCCCACTGCTTGCAGAGAAATTTTGCCTTTTCTTCACATTTTATAACATCCCATAATCCACCTGCAATTCCAGTTCGCATAGCAACACAACCAGGCTTTCTTCCTTTTTGTAAGCAAAAATATAGAAAAATCAAAATTGCATACGATTTGGATTCAGTTCTGATATTACAAAAATATATATTTCTGCACAAATTCAAACTCATATTCAAACAAACAAATCATTAAGATCATTCCCTGAATTTGTGATTGAACCATATATTGGCAAACTGAATAAGTGTATGTCATCCTGTCACCCTTTAACAGCCAACCCAATAATGGTTGAGAGCACTCAGTGCCTCCCTCCACCACTACCACCACCCTCCCTTCCCTGGGCGCTCAGTGAGCTTAGTGTGCCTCTAAGCCAGCACTGAAACACCACCATCTGCAGTTTTCTAAACTCAATTATTTTTTTGATGCTCTGATCTCAGCTATGATCCTCTCTGATGAGCATTTTGTCTGTATATATGTTACATTCTTTTGCACATACATTGTAGGAAACATACAAACTTTCAAAGCCAGTAGGCATTTCTGAATGACTAAAATATTTGAACCTAAATCTTAAACCTAGTAACTTAATAAAAATAATATAGAAATTGGTCATAATGAATGTAGCCCATCCTTTGCCAAAGGCTAGCTCCAGAGTTGCCAAGCCCCACATTTTTTTTTACTGGCAATCTGAAAGATTTTTACTGACAACCATACATTTTTACTAATGCATATTTTACATAATATAAATATAACCCTTCTGCCAGCTCCTAAACATCAGTAAGAGCCAGGCTCAAATTTAGGGTTTTAATACAGACCACAGTCTTATGTGACTGCAACAATAGTTTTACACTGTGCTGTCTTTATCCCAGGGGTCCCTACTGACCCTACACCCTGACACTTGCAACGGAATCCTGTCTCAACCTCAACCTGATGCCTGCCATCCCTGCTCCCCGCAAAACTAACACAAACTTTGACCTATAACCTCTTACTCCTCCTGCCCCATATCTCTGTCCCAGCCACACTGCACCCTTCCTTGTCCTGCCCAGTCCTCAGAATGCCTGGGAAAGCATGGTCCTGACTACCATTCAAGCGAGCAGCCAATGGAACAAAGTGGCAGCATGTGGCTATGGTGGGGGAAGGGCACTGTGGAGGTTCCCATAGGCCACAGTCCTGATGGAGAGCTCCCTGCAGGGCACCTAGCTGTACTCCTGCTCAGACACATGGTGGCTCCACTCTGTCCATACATCAACATTTGCATCCAGCTTAATTCAGACAATGGACCTTCCATCAAGCTCACAGCTGCTTAGTTTTTTTCTGGACAGCTCAGATTTTTAATTGACTTTATGGAGAAATGTTACAGCTTTTTTGTTTTGTTTTGTTTTGTTTTGTTTTGGGGGGGGGGGGGTGTTGATAAGGACTGGTTGGTAAATCTGGCCAGCACAATGCCCGATAGTACCTAATTGTTGAAAATAAAGTTTAAGAGTTCAGAGGTGCAAAAACTCTTGTTTTGATCTTCTGCTACAGGGTGACTTATACTTGAGTAGTTCACTGTGAATATACTGAAAAATCCTCAAATATCAAAACAATTTAAGAAATCTAATGTTTACAGGAAAACCTGTTGGTAAGAAATTATATTTTCATCCTGTACATGCCTATATTTTTAAGATGAATACTTAAAATGCCACAGATAACATATAGGATTTTTTTTCTTTAATCTCTTTTGCCCCTAAACATACAGCACTAAGTTACCTTGCACTAAATTGACTGGCCCATAGATCTTGATTTCAATTTAAACCTTTACCAAAAAGCATGAACCAGCAGGCTAACATAATGCAGGCATCATTCCACCATTTATGCCAAAGTAACAAACTTTCTAATGACAAAACCCTACCACCAAAGAGCCAGTGCAGTCTTTTGGTACCAAATAACATGACTAGATGCTATTTTCAATGTACTTTCATATATACCAGGCATTTCTGAATTCCAGTGGGTGAATAAGACAGATTCACCACTTGTCCACTTGAAAGTCCCTTTTTCTTGTATATCTGAAAGGCCAATCCAAAAATATTTTTCAGGCCTCAACCCAATCAAACTAGTCAGATAGGCTTGTTCATATCTGTAATAAAATAAAATAAAATATTGAATTGATATTACATCTAGATTTAATCAAAATGTGTCATTTTCATTAAATGATTTATGTAAGAGTTTATAAATGAGTGGTTTATTCAGACAAAGCAAAGGAACATAATATTTATGAATAAATATTGTCAGGCAAAAGGCAGAGCAGAGTAGCAACTTAAAGACTAACTCATTCAGAAATAAGTCTCTAATTCTGAATTTAGATTAATACAGCTAACTACCACTCAATAAGTATTGTATGAACTTTGAAATCAAATCACTTCTTCCTTTTTTTCTGTAAACAAGATTACATGGTGGAGGAATGAAGTGGAGGTGAACAAAGGAAGGATAAAGAAGAAACCCTGTTTAATCTTAGTTCTTAGACTCAGGGTAACTGAAGGATGGAAGGGGGGCATCAGCCCCAGGTGCCAACTTGAAGGGGGCACCAAAAGGCCTCTGCCTCCCCTTCAGTCTTTGCCATGTGTGAAACATCTATGCACTGCCCAGCCAGAGGCCACAGATATGGGGACACTTGGGGTAGATAAGATAACCCTCCTTCTCCCTTCTCCCTCCCCTGCTCTCCAGCAATTCCCAACCCCACACACACACACAAAGGATGGGAGTTTTGCTCAGGGTGGAAAGGTCATTACCTATGCCACTGCTTACAATAGCTACATATTTAATTACTTGTTGCTATATACAAGTCAGTTTGATGTTAAACGAGGAACAAATATCTATTTCTGAGCTTTTTAAGGGTTTGAAGGCTAGAAAGGAAATAAACCAAAGCGTGATATCTAGAGTAGCATTATAAAAACTTAAATCTACTTAAATTAACAAGCATGTAAGCTGAGAACTGAGACTCACAAAGACAAAGTGCCTAGGACTAGAGAGATGAAGAGAGAAAGTCAATTATAACAAGTTTAAGAAATACCTACAAGGCTCATCAAAACAGTTACAATCTTGAAATGTCAAACTAATTAAACATACATATTTGTATAATTTGAAGGCCAGATGAAACTGGCTATTGATCATTTGCATTAAATTAGAAGACACAGTGCAGGCAGTTCTCACACTTACGGCGCATTACATTCCTGAAAAAGATGCTGTAAGTCAAAACAATACAAGTCGAATCAGATTTTCCCATAGAAACAATGTTATAATAGGGAGTTACGTTCCTGACCAAGCGCCTGATGCCCTACTTTTTACAGAAATGACCATAAACACCATATTTAAATCAATGATTTAATCAACTATAAATGATATACACTGTACAGTACAAAGCTTTCTAAAGTGTACTGTATATAAATCGATTAAACAGGGCAATACAGCAACTAATCACATAAAATTTTATTTAATCAGAAGGTGAAGGCACACCTTCATCAGGGCTATGGAATCCAGAAGAGCTTCTTTGGGGAGATTTTTGTGGAGACTTAGGGCCACTTGATGGCTTTTTCATAGTTTCATAGTGCTTAGGGTCAGAAAGGACCTAAGCAGATCATCAGATCCGACCCCCTAACCCCAGGCAGGAATGGGTGCCACAGTCATATCACCCCAGCCAAATATCTGTCCAGCCTTCTCTTGAAGACCCCCCACAGTAGAAGAGAGTACCACTTCCCTTGGGAATCCATTCCAGAGCCTGGCAGCCCTAACTGTAAAGTAATGTCTCCTGATGTCCAGCCTGAACCTTCCTCTAACAATTTGTAGGGGTGTAGGTTGTAGCCGTGTTGGTCTAAGGACATAGGCAGACAAGGTTCCTTGGGTGAATTTGATATCTTTTATTAGACCAACCCAAATAGTTGGAGAATAGTTATTAAGCAAGCTTTTGAGTTCAAAAACCCTTCGTCAGGCTAAGGAAGTTTCAGCAGTTGGTGTGTGCTCTTCCTGGATGGAATGAAAAGTAAAGAAGCCAGGGGCTGGGCTGGGGAGTCAGTTGCCAGGCAGATTATAATGTATCAAAAATCCAATGTCTATGTTTAGTCCATGATTATAATTCATATATAATTAATAATATAATCTGCCTGGCAACTGACTCCCCAGCCCAGCCCCTGGCTTCTTTACTTTTCATTCCATCCAGGAAGAGCACACACCAACTGCTGAAACTTCCTTAGCCTGACGAAGGGTTTTTGAACTCGAAAGCTTGCTTAATAACTATTCTCCAACTATTTGGGTTGGTCTAATAAAAGATATCAAATTCACCCAAGGAACTTTGTCTGTCTAACAATTTGTGGCTGTTACTCCTAGTAACCCCAGGTGGTGGCCAGGAGAACAGAGTCTACCCCAATTCTCGCTGGCCCCCCCGGTGAGTTTGTAAACAGCCATCAGACCCCCTCTCAGCCTTCTCTTGTGGATAGGTTCAGACCCTTTAGCCTCTCCTCATAGGGCCTGCCCCACTGCTCCTTGACCATGCGAGTGACCCTCCTCTGGACCTTCTCAATGCTAGCCACATTCCTCTTGAAGTGCGGCACCCAGAGAAGCTGATCCAGAAATGTTTGTTTTACTGCCTTCTTTTTCTCACTGTAAATTTCCCTGTAGTGCTGTAAGTGTGAGGATCCAGCACCATAAGTAATAGCACGGGTGTAAATGGCGGAGCACCGCAAATGCGATCGCCATAAGTCAAAACGCCATAAGTCGAGGACTGCCTGTATACATACATATGCCCACATACAGGACAATTCAGTAAAATGTGGTTAAATCATCACTCCAAGCGGATCAGTACTAATACATAATTAGCCACAGGTGAGTAATTATCCACTTTTAACTTTTCATGAGATGCATTTTGACATTTAAAATAAAGACAAAAATATTACAAAAATCATGGGTGCAAAAAGGATTCCGTTTGGCTTGCTATATAAGAACTGTATGATTATGTAGATAAAAGCTTAATGCGAGTCTTTCTACCAAGAATTAAGGTGCTTGCAACATAGGAATTACGTGATTATGAGGAAGTAAAGTAGGTAAAGTTTTGCTTTTCACTCTTACATTCACTTAGCACAAAAACAGAAGGTACATCTGAAAAAATGTAATGCTTGTTTGTGTATGTCTCAGTGAGCCAAGAAAAGCTGAAGTTTTCAATGCTTTGTAAGATCAGCTGGCTTGAGAGGTCCTACAGAAGGCATAAGTTAGTAGTTCTCAATTATTAGAAGCAATTCCATTGTGATTTAGTCTGTTTACACATAGAAATGACATGCTTGAACAGCTGATGAATGTGCCAGTGTTCTGTGTATTAATCAGTAGGACAGGCAGAGGTTTAGCTCACTAAGACCACAGTAACAAGTTATCTCATGAAAAATTAACCACATTTTAATGTACAGCCCATGCAATGTAGAGCATATACTGTACAGCCCATGGTATGTAGAGATCTGTCTAGACACTAGAAAACAAATATAAAAAATTATGAAGAGCCATATTGACACAATGGGCTTTGCTTAGGAGCTAGGAGCTCTCAGTCATCCAACATGTAACATTCAAAGCTGTGTATCACCAACACATGTGACATTTTACACAGTTGCATGGTGATGGATTCTCAGGTACAAAACCATTTACCCTTTGCTTAGTTTGTTTGTATGTATACTTTTAAGGATAAGTGTAGACATTCAGGGGGGAGGGAAAATTAGGGGGAGGGGGATCAGATTGAATATGGCTACCTAATCTAATTTAGTTTGCCCAGGGGCAGATCCTGCACTTAAAACCCAGTCTTAGTGTTTAGAAACCAATCTAAGCCCATAACAGAACAGAAGTTCTGTGCCCACAGACCAGTCTAAAAATGGCAGAACCCAGTCTAAGATAGACCTGGATTGATATACACTCAAACTTAATTTATCTAGGTTAGACCAATGCATGGAATGTTTAGATAGTTACTTGTGCAGCCCCAGGGCTGCTAAAGCCCAACTGCTGACCCCAGCCCTGAGGCTGTGCTTTTCCTACCCACCCCCTTGCTTCAGGCTATTTTTAGTCCCCCCAGCCCCTTGCCCCTCACTCCCTCCCTGGAACAGCCCTTCCCCTCAAACCTCCCATCCCACAAGCCACCTGAGTGCCAGATTTATCAGGGACATGCTTTATGCTGGCAGCTGAGAAAGAAAATATCAGTGAGGTAGAGGGCGGGAGAAATAGGGTGTAGATTCACCAGGGGGGTGGAGGGGAGAACCAGGGGCCTAAAAATAACCCCAGGTCCCACCCAAGCCCCCCACCACCCCAGACTCCATAAACTCCCCTGATCCTGCCAAGACCTCCCAGATACCACCAACCTCAGGTGGACCATGCCTCTCTTGCTGATCATTCCTGCAGAGCCCACCTGCCCCCTGACCCTTCCCATGGATCCCACATGCCCTCCCCAATTCCTCCTATGGACACTGCCAGCCCCCTGATTGCTCCCATGGATTCTTCCTGTATCCCCAATCTCCCTGATCACTCCTGCAGTTCCCACCTGCCCCCCAATCCCTTCTGTTGATGCCCCCCAATCCCTCCACAGATGCCACCTGCCCCTCCAAGCCCCCTGATCACTTCCACAGAGCCATCTGCCCCCCATTCCTCCCATGGATCTCCAATCCCCCCACACCCCCTGAGCCTGCTTGCCCTGCCATCCCTCCAACTCTTTCCTCCTGGCTAGCCCCTCCTCCCCCCATCCTGACTTCCCTTAGATTGGGTGGCCATTTTTAACTCAATCTAACTTCCGCATAACCTCTCCAAATGTCTGTACTTAGCTTGTATGCATACTCTAAAATATGACTAGGTAAAATGGCACCTTCTTGATCAGAGGATTTGCTTCCCCTATCACATTCACATCAGATCCTCTATGGGGCACATGATTTACAAGGAGAATCTAATGAAACTGGGTTTATTTAGTCTAGACAAGAGAAGACCAAGAGGGGATTTAAAAGCAGCCTTCCGCTACCTGAAGGGTGGTTCCAGAGAGGATGGAGCTAGACTGTTCTCAGTGGTGGCAGATTATAGAACAAGAAGCAATGGTCTCAAGTTGCAGCAAGAGAAGTTTAAGTTAGAAAAAACTTGCTCACTAGGAGAATAGTAAAGCATTGGAACAGGTTATCCAGAGAGGTTATGGAATCTTAGTCCTTGGAAGTTTTTAAGATCCAGCTAGACAAAGCCTTGCTGTGATTACACAGTTGGGGATGGTCCTGCTTTGAGCAGAGGGTTGAACTAGATGGCCTCCTGAGGTCCCTTCCAACCCTTATTTTCTATGATTCTATGATTCAGAGCCATAGCTGCTCATTTGGCAACAAAAAATAGCTTTCACAGACATACAATTTACTAAACTTGGCTAAACCACCACAGCTAAGAAAGATCAAACATAATTCTCTTTAATTGTCATTGATTGAAATCTTCATGAAATTGAAGTTACACACCATTGTTGGCCCTATTTGTAATAATGGGACTGCTCCAGTACAGAAGAGGGACTAATTTGGTCTGTAGATTCTTCAATAGTGATTATTCAGACCGGTCCCTTTTGACTATGAACTGAACTCAACCCCTTGGATTTAACCGCAAGCACAATAATTTTGAGAAGGTTAATATGAAGACCTAATTTCATTTCTCATACTTATCTCTAATTTTTATCAACATCAAAAATTTTATTTCAGTGATCTAGATTATTTTAAAACATTACTGATAAAATCCTATCAGCCCTCAGATTACAAACCCTTTTATATACCTGTCTTCAACACTAGCTAGATTAGCCTGGTTTCTTCCACAGGTCTGATTAGCTTCAGGAAACGATGCAAATGTACTTCCAATCAGGTAACAATAAAAACCATGTCTTTTCCAGCCCTGTCAAAATAAATATTAGGCAATCACACAAAGATTGGAATGCATTATAATCTGCTGTACTTTATTTTAAAAATTATTACAAACAATACTACAGCTAAGCCCTGAAACAACTAAGAAACAATAAGAACAAGTCAGAAAATAAGCAGAGAGAAGAGCATTTAGCAAAGCAGTTCCTTAAAATAAGTAGAATACAGAAGAGTTTTGTTTGGAATAAGGAGCTGACCCAATTTTCCTGAGGGATAACTATTTCAGAAAAATGGTTTGTTAAACAAAAAAAAAAGGCAGAATGTGGATTATCACTGTCTTTTCTCTACCCAGCAGTAAAGCTGCTTCATTACCTATATGAAGAAACAACATGAAGTATTCCATCTGAAATTTTAACCTGGTTCAACACAAATGCATTACGGCATACAAACTCTAGAGGACAGAAATATTTAATGTATAGTCCATTTACAGAAAAGTATGAAATATATTGTGTTCTTTAAAGTATCAATATTTTTCATTAAAAGTTACTCCAACAATAACAATGCCATGTACTCTGCATAAGTTCTTGCCAAGTTGTACACACCATAAGTAATCATTAATAACTTACAACTCTTTATATATTTGTAACCAGGAACAAAAACTTCTGAAAACATCATTGCTACAGCATGTGTACGCAACAAGCTATAGCATATAATGATTTTTTTAATGTTTCTGAATAAACCTGTTTTTTCTCCCTAAGGGATCCATAATGACATCCCCAAAAGTTTCAGGCTTGACTACATTGCTGTCTGCTTTACTGACACACAGTGCACTGCAATATTTTGTCTAGAGCAGTGCTTTTCAACATTTTTCATTAGCAGATACCTCAATAATTTCAAATGGAAGTACAGAGCCCTTTGGAAATTTCAAATGGAGGTGTGCACCCCTTTGAATTGTAAGTGTGGGAATTCACATACTTCTGATTCATCATAGTCAACTTTCGTGGAGCCCTTAGACAGCCTGTGAACCCCTAAGGGTTTGCAGACCACAGGTTGAATACCACTAGTCTAGAGAACATATTGAATTAGTCAAAAGGGAAAAGCCATACATGAGAAATCAAGTGTAGCATGATGTTTTGCAAAGCAAAGGATATCCCAGCTAATATTAAAACTTTCCTCTAACATTTTGCAAGCCAAATATCACAAAATTTGGAGTGCAATAGACAGTAGAGCTGCTGTGACTTCCCAAATTTCTTCTTAAATTCTTATGTTTTCTCAACAGGGAGATGTGTTTTCCTTTACTATCAAGGAACATACCTGTAAGTTCCATCAACCAGAGACAATAGCAATATGCACAAGGGCCCCCAGCATACCAAAATTTTGCCAGTCTCCCTGGAGTACTTGTGCAGCAGAGGTGGGCAAAATGGTAGATCTGACTGGGAGCTAGACTTCATTTCCCAGCAACCCCTGCCCGTGTGACTGGGGCCAGCTTCCATGGACACCTCAGCAGCAGCCCTGCTTTGTTAGCAAGGGGCTAGGGTTTCTGTAGAGACCAGCCACAGCAGCAATGGCAGGGCGGGGAGCTGCTCTGAGACCAGGCTAGGTGCAGTGGTGACAGTGTGGTCCAGAGCCAGGGCAGAGCCACATTCTGCAACCTGCATGCTCCAGACCAGGGGTCAGCAAAGCCCGGCACACATGCTAAGCATGGCATGTGAGGCCATTTTCCTCAGCAACCCATGGTCAGCCCCAGCTCTGGGTAGCTGCTGCCAGCAACAGAGCCTGGGCTTCTCGCAGCAGGGCTTGCAGCATCCCAGCTGCCTGCTGGGAGCAGCCCGGGTTCCTGGCTGGCAGCAACTACCCAGAGCCATGGCCGGCTGCAGCCGGGAGGCTATAAACAGCTGTGCCAGGCTCCAGAGCCCAGGCATCAACTCTGTACTGGTGCATGCATGCGCACCTTGGAGCAGGCAGTGGGGGAGGGGCCTGAGGCAGCGCAACCCTGGGTGACTTCTATTACCCGGACATCTCGTGGGAGGATCGCTCAGCAAAATCTGAGCAGTCACAGAGCTTCCTCTCGTGCGTGGATGACCTCTACCTGACTCAAGAAGTCTATGGGCCAACGAGAGGCAAAGCGCTGCTCGACCTGGTACTGGCTACTGGGGATGACCTAGTCGGTGACCTAGTGATCGATGGGAAGCTGGGTGACAGCGACCACGAGCTGATCACCTTCACCATCCGCC